GTTGAAGAATAAGAACATTTAAAATTTAGCCTTGGCAGGTTTGGCTCAGCAGTTAGTGTCAGACAACAGACCAAAGGGTCATGGGTTTGATTCCGGTCAAGGGCATGTACTTGGGCTGCAAGTTCGATCCCTGGCCCCGGTTGGGGTTGTGCGGGAGGCAACCAAATCTATGTGTCTCTCTCACATCGATATTTCTCTCTCTCCCTCCCTCCCTTCTACTCTTTCTAAAAATTCAATGAAAAAATATCCTCAGGTGAGGGTTAATAAAACAAACAAGAAAGAACTTTTAAAATTTAAGTAATGCTAGCCCTGGCTGGTTTGGCTCAGCGGTTGGAGTGTTGGCCTGTGGACCAAAGAGTTGGTTCCTGCTAGGGGCACATACCAAAAAATAAAAAAATAAAATTTAAGTAATGCTAAGTAAAAGAAGCCTGGCATGAAAGGCTGCATATTGTGTGATTCCATTTATATGAAATGTCCACAGTAGGCAAATCCATAGAGACAAAGTAGATTTAGTGGTGGCCAGGTGGCGTGAGGAGGAAATTAGGAGTTACTGCTAATGAGTATGGGATTTCTTTTTGGGATGATGGAAATATTCTAGAATTAGATGGTGGGATAATTGCACAACATTCTGAATATACTATAAACCACTAAATTATATGCTTCAAATGGTGAATTGTGTATATATAAATTTTATCTCCATTTTTAAAAAATGGTTGGCCAAATTGCCCTTCAAAAGTGTTACCCTAATTTAGTTTCTAAGAACAGTGTGTGAGAATACCTGTTTTTCATATCCTATGGATGCTATCAGTCTTTTACATTTTTGCTAATCTGACAGAAAAAATAGATTTTTTAGTTTTCATTTTCTTGTTTACCACTGGGGCTAAGCATCTTTCTTCATAGATTTACTTTCCTCTGTGAGTCAGGTGTTTATGACGTGCCGGTTTTTCTACTCTATAGTTTATCTTTTTCCAGTTGATTTATAGGAGCTCCATATATGATGGGTATTAACCTTTTATCTTTTATTTATGTGTCAGGCTGTCAATCTTTTTCCTTTTAGTTTTGAGTGACTTTTAGAATGACTTCACCCATCGTTATTATGCACACCTTCTTCTTTATTTTGTCCTGGTGTTTTGCTGGATTTTCATTTATGGTTTAAGTCTTTAATCCATCTGTATTTTGGTGACTGATGTATGGTAGGGATCTAACTAATTATGTTATATATGTTGATTAAATCTTTATGTTTTATGAAATCCTGTTCAGAGCATTTGGTCTAATTTTCCATACAGCCCTGGCCGGTTTGGCTCAGCGGTTAGAGCGTCAGCCTGCGGTCCTGAGAGACCCGGGTTCGGTTCCCGCTAAGGGCATGTACCTCGGTTGCAGTTTGTCCCCGGCCCTGGTCGGTTGTGCGGGTGGCAGCCACTCGATGTGTTCCTTTCACATCGCTGTTTCTTTCTCTCTCTCTGTTCCTCTCTCCCCCCCCACTCTACCTGAAAAAAAATGGAAAAATGTCCTCGGGTGAGGATAAAAAAATAATAATAATAATAATTTTCCATACATACAGGTAGAGGAAAGTATGTAACATCCAGAAGGATATTGAATATCTTTAACATAAGAATTGACTCCAAGAATCCCATAAATGGTGAACTCCTTTCTTGAATTTAAATTTATTTGGTTTATGTCAGGGGTGGATGCAGGTTTTGTGGGGCCTGAAGTTTATATAACTTAAGGAGTTTTTTCCAACACAAGAATACAAATTATGAGTATAATGTTAGGTGCAGAGACGTGAAACTCTAGCTTCTTGGCTTCACAGTAAATTCAGTCCTGCTTATATATTATTAGAATGGTTTTGTACATAAAAGGCTGAGAACAGCCATCTCCATCTGTGGTGTGGTATGACTTCCTTTTATATTCACCAACTGCCACAACTTAAGGATTTTCTTCTTTCGTTTTCTGAAGAGACATTTAAGAGCCAAAACATACATCAAGGTGGCTTTAATGTTGTAAGTGGAGTTAGCCCAGTGGAAAGCTCTTTCCGTGGAGTCTTTGCTGTTGCTGCATTGCTCAGATGTAAACTATTTGATCCGTGGAGTAGCTGGGAGCTCAGTATGGTAATGTGGATCGTTAATCTTATAGGCCTTTGGAACCTGAATTTACAACTTTAACTTTGCATATCTGCTTACTTTTACATTAGAGTTTGGTCAGCACTCTTTTGAGAGGCTTGCAAATGCAACTAACAGGGCTTTCTTTAGCATCCTACCCCTTCAAAAATCAGAGGCAGCCAGTGACTAGTGTCATGATAAACAATGTAGAGGTTAACAATAATACGTGTCATTAACTATGAGCCAGGCACTAAGCAAAATGCTTACCCGGATTGTTTTACGTCATCCTTATCACCCACTGTGAGGCAGGCCCTATATGACCCTTGCTTTCCAGACGAGGAAGCCGAAGTTTAGAGAGAGGGCGCCTTACTCAAGGCTTTAGGGGGATACTCTGGAGCGTCCACTTCAAAATCCTCCAAGACCGGTGCTCTCATTAGACAAATTAGAAAACACTTAAAGAAGTGACACAACTTGAATTTTTATCTTTTCTTTTTTTTTTTAATCCTCACCCAAGGACATTTTTGCATTTATTTTCAGATAGAGAGGGAGGAAAAGAGAGAGAGAGAAACATTTATGCGAGAGAGACACATCGACTGGTTGCCACCCTCACAACCCCAACTGGGGTGGGGGACAAACTGCAACTGAGGTAGGTACGTGCCCTTAGCGGGAACCAAACCCAGGTCTCTCTGGTCCACAGGCCGATGCTCTGACCGCTGAGCAAAACCAGCCAGGGCGAATTTTTATCTTTTAACATCGGGTTGTATTGAGTGCTGTGTGTCAACCATAGTTTTTTAAACTTTATGGGTACTCTTTCATTTAATCCCCATAAGAGTCTTATCAGATAAATGCTGTTATTTTCCCCATTTTATAGATGAGAAAATGGAGACACAGATTTTCCAAGGTCACAAGTAATAAGTGAAAGAGCTGGGATTGAACCTTAAGCAGCCTGCCTCTCGAGTCAGTACCATTAAAGCTCAGAGTTACTGACTTATTACATCTCCAGGCCTTTCAGGGATCAAGACAAACCATGTTCCTTCAAGTTTTTAAAATGGAGAAACGTATAAATGGGGTTACAAAATCTGTGACATATTTTAAGTGTTTACATTTGACAAATTAATTCTGTTAACATTCAAAAAACAATGCAATACCATTCTGCTATTCATAAGATAATTATGAGATTCATAAGAAATATTAATTCATGGGGTTTTTATAGTAGGGTGGTATGGGAATGAGGCACGATTTAAAGTTGATGACGAGCCCTGGCCGGTTTGGCTCAGCGGTTAGAGCGTCAGCCTGCGGTCCACAGAGACCCGGGTTCGGTTCCCGCTGGGGGCATGTACCTTGGCTGCAGTTTGTCCCCGGCCCTGGTTGGGTCGTGTGGGTGGCGGCCACTCGATGTGTCCCTTTCACGTCGATGTTTATCTCTCTTCCTCTCTCTCCTTCCCGCTCTATCTGAGTAAAAAATGGAAAAATGTCCTCGGGTGAGGATGAAAAAAAAAAAATAAAAAAAAAAATAAAGTTGATGACGAACATCTTTCAGTCCCGTGAGTGTCTGTTGTTGGGTGTATGACTTCATTTGGAAAACACCAGGAGTCCAATTTGAGGCTCTTTGGGAATAACGGGGGGGGGGGGGGGGGGGGGGCGGGGGCGGGAGGACACGTCCTGACCCAATTTAGTGGTATATAGAGCCAACAGCTTGTGCTTGACCTTTCTTTTGTTTTTCTAGTGTTGGTGGCTAAAAGGATAAATGTAGAAGATTCTACTAAAATACCAAGCTTTGTTTGTTTGGGCAAAAGAAAAGCCACTGAATGCTGATTGATAAGAGATAGTCTTTTATTTATTTATTTATTTATTTATTTATTTATTTTTATTTTTTATCCTCACCTGAGGACTTTTTTTTTTCCCCATTTATCTTCAGATAGAGCGGAAGGGAGAGAGGGGGGAAAAGAGAGAGAAAAACATCGACATGAGAGAGACACATCGAGAGGGTGCCACCCACATGACCCTGACCGGGGCCGGGGACAAACTGCAACCAAGGTACATGCCCTTAGCGTGTTGAACCTGGGACTCTCTGGTCTGCGGGCCAACACTCTAACCACTGAGCCAAACTGGCCAGGGCAATTGTCTTTGATTTTATATTCTCTCTGTTTTATAGTTACTTTCTGTTTAAAAATGCTATCTTTTTAAAAAAATTGTTATTTCCTGGTCAGACCCACGTTTTCTAGGAAAGAAAGGGATTATTTTTCTTAAATTAGAAGATAAATCTCCAGGTTATTATCCTGGAAGAATACATTAAAATGCAGGGCCCATTTCTGGCCCTACTAGTGACTTACTCTGCAGCTTTAGGAAAGCAAGTTAACCTTTTACTTGTTTCTTTGTCTGAATGACAAATATGAATGACAGTGCTCTGGCATCACATTTTTCCAAAGCATTTTTCAGAGTTCTGAATGAAAGGTGTTAAACACATTGCCACTATTATTCCCAGCTCCCACCTAGCAACTGGTTCCAATTACCAGCCATTTAGAAGCATTTGTAGGTAAGGCTCTTACCACATCTTGCTAATCACAACTTTCACAGTTGTGTTTTGTTATTTTATTTCAAAAGCTAATGTTTTGGTAGTGACTGCTTTCTTTGCCAGTTAGAAACACAGCTCCCTTTCCATACAAATGTCACGTTTTTATTAGCACATCACCCATAGGGATTATGCAACTCTGTTTATAGATATAATCAGCTTTGTATTTTCATTCAAGGATAACAAACTTAGCAAGGTTGAAATCTTGACTTGTCATCTGGATTGAATTGCTCCCTGGAGCTGGCAGGGAATTGAGACTGAGTCTAGCCCTTCAGAAATGACAGTTGTCTTTAGAATCTCAATTGCTTGCTCTCCCTTTCTTTTTCCAGTACGGTGACTATGACCCCTCTGTTCACAAGCGGGGATTTTTGGCCCAAGAGGAATTGCTTCCAAAAAGGGTAAGAAATCAAACTCCCTGTTGGGAAGACACAGCAGATGTGTGGTGTACAAGAAAGCTAACCAAGGGACTTGAAGGAATAATGGAAGTAACATGGCAAGAACATTATTATAAGTACTTTGTAATCAATTTTGAATAGAGTATGGAATCTCTGTTAAGAAAATTAAAAAGCGCCTGGCTGGTGTGGCTCACTGGTTGAGTGTCAGCCCATGCACCAAGAGGTCACTGGTTCAATTCCCGGTCAGGGCACATGCTCAGGTTGTGGGCACAATCCCTAGTGCAGGGCATGCAGGAGGCGACCAATCCATGTTCTCTCTCATCGGTGTTTCTTTCTCTCTTTCCCTCTCCCTTCCTTTCTCTCTAAAATCCATAAAGAAAAAATATTTTTAAAAAAATTAAAAAGCAGTGGTTTATGGAATTATTTGGGGGTTGCCAGGACTAGTATGGCCTGCAAATAGTCCTTTCTTTAAAGGTTGGTGAGTGTCAGTGATTCCTAAGAAGAAGTTGGAGTGGCATGTGCTTAGCCCAGGGAGCTGAGCTGTTAGCAGCTGCATGGGGTGGATAGAGGAGATGAGTTAGGGGTGGGCATTGTAGTTTTTAATCCTTGGTGTTGTTCCTTAGCCACAGAAACAGGCCCTCCCTCCCTTTTGCTGCTTCTGATTTTATAGCTCCACTCATCCGTCACATGTAATAAAGGCCTGCTCCTCACCTTCCCCTGACTTTCCCTGCTCCTTTGATGGCTTCTGTGCAGGTAGAGGCAGCAGCACACACAGCCTGGCCCAGCTGGCCAGCCCGAGATTAGTGAGCACTGCTCCTGACCGAGGTCCTCCCTCTGGGACCTACAACCCAGGAGAGAGAGGCCCCTGCCAGGCAAGGCATGCACCAAGGCCTGGATAATGGTGCAGCTTTTCGAGTTATGACTCAAACGGAATGATGCTTGTTTACATGCCCACCCCTGTGTGTGACTGTTTCCCTGTATGTGGCTTTTTAAAAATAGCTGTGCTGTTTTGTCAAAATGATGCATAATTAGAAAAATGGCAAAAAATACCTAAACTTTCTGTGTGTGGGATTTTATTTTGTTTTATATTTTGGTAGGTGATAAATCTGTATCAAATGACTCCAGAAATGTGGGAAGAGAGAATCACTGCCTGGTACGCAGAGCACCGAGGCCGAGCCAGGTGAGGCTGCTTCATTTTTGGTTTACATTTCTTTATGGGCGTTTTTGTTTCTTTTTCTTTAAGAACTACAGAACTAGGACATGCTTGTTGAAAAAAGTGCATTACTGAAGTATGTAAAAGAAAAGAGAGCTGGGAGTAATGCTGGTGGTGTTCAATTTTGTCTCTATCCTTTTCCTACTGCTGTGGGCATGGGTACTTACTACCTGTTGGGATATACAGACCTGTATTTGTTGGTAATTTAGTTTCATTTTAAGAATTCTGTCCACCTGGTGTGGCTCAGTGGTTGAGCATCGACCCATGTACCAAGAGGTCGCCGGTTTGATTCCTAGTCAGGGCACATGCCCAGGTTGTGGGCCAGATTCCCAGTAGGGCGCATGCAGAAGGTGGCCAGTCGATGTTCTCTCTCCTTGATGTTTCCATCTCTCCCTTTCTCTTTAAAATCAATAAAGAGAAAAAAAAAGAATTCTGTTCTACAGATATCCCATAGCTTTTTTTTTTTATCCTCACTTGAGGTCATTTTTTAATATTTTGTTCAGATAGTGTGGGAAGGAAAGAGAGAGAGAGAGAGAAATATCGACGTGAAGGAGACACATCGAGTGGTTGCCACCCGCACAACCCAACCAGGGCCGGGGACAAACTGCAACTGAGGTACGTGCACTTAGTGGGAACTGAACCCGGGGTTTCTCTGGACTGCAGTCTGATGCTCTAACTGCTGAGCCAAACTGGCCAGGGCTTTTAAAAAATATATATTTCTTTATTGATTTTAGAGAGAGAGGAAAGGAGAGGGAGAGAGAAATAGAAACATCGATGAGAGAGAACATCGATTGGCTGCCTTCTGCATGCCCCCCACTGGGGTTCAGGCCCACAACCTGGGCATGTGCCATGACCTCTTGGTGCACTGGTCAATGCTCAACCACTGAGCCACACCAGCCATGCAAGATCCCTTAGCTTTTACACCTATTTCTCTACTGATGGCATTTGGAGTAGGTCTAGGTTTTTCATTTTTACAAAATGTTCTGCAGTGTAGACCATCTTATATCGTTATATAATGCTATGAGTAGTTCTGCCCATAGATTCTTTAGAAGAGTTGCGTAGTCAAAGGATGTATTTTGAGTTTTGACAGGTGCCACCAAATTGCCCTCCAAAAAGGTTGTGTCTGTTTACAAGCCCATCAGCAGTGTATGAGTGTCTCCATGCCCCCATTTTCTCCCTAACACTTGTTTTTAATCAATCTAATTTTATCATCTAAAAAGTAAAAAATTACATCTTAAATATTAATCAGCATTTCCCTGATCACTTTAGGAATTGATCATTGTTTCACTCGTCTTTAACATTTTTTTCTCTTCTTCAAATTAACTTCCTATCACATACTTTTTTTTTAGTTTTTAAAAATATGTAACAAGCATACATTTGGCATTCTCTCAGGCTGAATTTTTAAAATTAATTTGAGAGCATTTGAGATCGGAGCGTGAGAGAAGGCGGCAAGGTCAGGAGACTTGAGTTAAAATATTTCAATACTATACCTGTTGGGGAGTTTATTTTTGCAAGTCATTCCTACTTCAAGAGCTTACTTTAAATTTGAATTATAACTTAGAAGTAGGTGATCTGGCTTGGGTTTTACAGACCACGTAGCTCTTACCCTAACCTCCAACACCACCCAAAGAAAGAAAATCGGGAAGGTAGCTCCCAGGTAGCTTGTAGACAGAGCTGTTTCATTTCCAAAACCTTCTAGGTGAAGAAAGTACACAGTTAGATAAAGCAACAACTCAAATAAAAATTGAATATTCAAATCCATTTGAGGGGAGAAGATAGCTTACCACATGTTTGAATTACGAGACGGGTTTCGCTATTGACCAAGGGCGAAGCATGGAGTTGAAGCCAAGAGATGCTCTAATGTATGTGTTCTCTTGTTTTTATGGGGATGGGAAATTCTTCTTGACTTTGTTGTATTGAATAGACTCAGGGTTCAGAAGAGCTTTCCTGGTGTCTGCTCTGTATGGCTCGCGTCTTCTGTCAGGTTTGACCACTCAGCTTGGCGTGCGCCTGTCCTCCAGTTTTCTCATTTAGCTCCAGTGAGTGTCTTTCATTTTTCCCACAGGGACGAAGCTGAAATGGAATATTTGAAGATAGCTCAGGACCTGGAGATGTACGGCGTGAACTACTTTGCAATCCGGGTATGTTGAAGCTTCTCCGGGTTCTATGTTTATAAACAGAGACGGAACCAGGGGCAGAGTGCTAAAATGGGTTACTTTCTCATTCCGGATGGAAGACTCTTGAACGGTTCAGTGGTGAAGAAGAGAAGGGGAGAGAGTCTTATAGCTGTATTTTCTATTTTTGGATTTCAATTAGATCCTAGGTAATTAAGTGTCAGTTGAGCCTCGGGGGGCCTTGGGCTGGTCCTGCACAGAGTAGAAACCTGTTTGAATGCACCGAGAGCAACATTTGATTATTCTGGCTCTGTGAGATCTGGGCCCACGGGAGCACCTATAAGTACTTTCTTCCCCAAGGGCACAACGAGAGCCAGCAAGCAAAGCTGCTTTTATATATCACTGATTTGTTTGGGTGTAGACTCTTATTCTCACTAGCAGGCTAATTGGTTTTCTATTCAGACCATTAATAGTCCACCGTCCTCTGGGAACCCATTGCTTCAACGTCAGAATGGCATTTGTTTTCATTCCGGGGTTGGGCCTTTCCAGTCTTTCTCCCAAGGGTCCCTTGCTGGATGCAGTGTAGTAGAGGCAGCTCCTTCCAAAGGAATTCCTGTTAATTTGCTAACGTATTTCATTGCTAGCTCCAAACTATAGATGAGTAGACGTTAGAACAACCATCACAGTGTGGTTGCTTTCCTTTTTGGGATCCCTATAAATTTTGTATTAAATTTGAGTACATTGGAACATGTTTAAATATTTTAGGGTATCTATCAACCTGATTTGTTTTCTAAATACAGATTTTTAAATGGATTACTTTGCTTAAAATAAAGCACAATGACAAGTTATGTTATGTCATACAGTAAACAGGTACCTAAAAGATTTCTCATAATAATGCTGAAGGTTATTTTCTAAAGTTTTATTAATTTGTATTTGCTAATTGTTTGGTTTCTTTAGGATCAGACTACTTTAACACATTTCTGTGATTTTGTCTATGATAACCTGGTTATTTAATTAGAAGTTAACAGTGCTTAGATTGCTGCTACTTTAGCTATCAAGCCAGTGACAAGAGCCTCCAGTTGTCCCTCCATGGGACACATGAGTCACAAGAATGGTATAGTTTTGTCTCCACCTGCCCCAATTCAGGAAGCCAGAGGCCCTCTGGGTTACAAGACAGCTGTGACTGCTGTTGGGACCTGTTGAAACTTGTCATATGTAACATTGTGTGCCAGGTCTTTGGGGAAGTTGAATAAAACCTCGAGCCTTAGCTAAAGCTGACAGTGGCTGTTCTTTGTTGAATCTACAGAATAAAAAGGGCACAGAGCTGCTGCTTGGAGTGGATGCTCTGGGACTTCACATCTATGACCCTGAGAACAGGCTGACCCCCAAGATCTCCTTCCCATGGAATGAAATCCGAAACATCTCATACAGCGACAAGGAGGTAGGACATGTCTGGGCTGCAGATGCGCCAGTGGCCCAGCAGAAGGTCTTTCCATCTCCTCCTTGCTGAAGTGTCCCCGCCACTCTTCTCCTGTTCACAGAAAAGTCTTTCCAGTTACCTAATTCCCAGGCTTTGGGTTTTTGGTTGTTGATTTTTATAGTATTTACAGAATAGTATTGGCATTCTATTTTCACTAATCCCCCCCCGCTGACTAACAAGAGACTGGGAAGCTCAACCTGTCCGGACTAAACCCCAAAGAACAGTAAACAAGCCAAAATGTAATCTTTTCTTATTACTTGCCTTTCTATTTCTGGTGAGAAATTATCTTTGTGTTTTAAGTGTGGTACATATTAAACCCTTTCTCTGTGTCCTGGGCTTGCACATGTGGTGGGGATGTGTGTTGTGCATGTATCAACAATGAGAATAATTGTTTAAATTACTTAAACACCCTAAGTTAGAATTCAAATATTTTTATATAGGATGGTGACCTTTCCCAAATGCTGTAATACTACGTTCATTTGTTTGTTCATTCATTTATTCTGTGTTAATTTTAAATATTTTTTTTATTGATTTTAGAGAGAAAGGAAGGGAGAGGGAGGGAGTTGGAAACAACCATGAGAGAGAACATTGATCGGCTGCCTCCTACATGCCCCCCATTAGGGATCGGCCCACATCCTGGGCATGTGCCCTGACCAGGAATCGAACCCGCACCCTCTTTGTGCATGGGACAATGCTCAACCACTGAACCACACTGGCCGGACATTCTGTGTTAATTTTAAAGGAATCATTGAACATCTGCTTTGTATTAGGTTTCGTAGGGGAAGCAAAGATGTAGAAAATCCTATCTTAGCCCTCAAGGAAGTTATAGTGAAGTCACGATTGGGCTGCAGTGTGAGGGATTGATGACAAGGGCAATGGTGATATAGTGCCCTTGCACATACCAGCATTTTCACCCTGACTCTCCTTCAGTCCTCACAAGAACGCTGCTGTAAGAGCAGGGGCTGTGTTTTGGTTATCTGTGTCACATCACAGGAAGCAGAGATGTAGAGAGATAAGTCCCCGGAGTGGAATCGCAGGGGCTGAGTTCCAGGTTCCCTGAAGCCACATCACAGGGCACTAGGCAGAGGAGAGCAGACCTGCACAGTGTTCAGTGGCATACTGGTGCTGCACAGCCAGGACGCACAGACAGTGACAGTTCATATTGCTTACAGGGCCCCCTCCCCTATGCAGACTTCCTGTTTTCTCTTTCCTGGTAGCAGCTCAAGGGAAGGAACACCAGGCTCCTGGTTTCTAATACATGGTTGAGATCTGCTTGGCCATGCTTGATGAGACAGATTGAGCTTCTTAACTAAAAACATTCTGGCTTTCAAATTTTTGTAAGTAGCCCAGCAGATGAGCATTTAGGAATTTATTTTTTAAAGTACTTAATTTGAAAGCTCCACATGACTTAAAGCAGTACATGTGCCATGGTATGATAGTTTTTCATTTCTAATTTTATGAAGTCTGTTTACTGCACATCCACAAATTTCTGTGCTAAAGGCTCCCAAAACACTCGTCCTTCCAGAACCAAAGGATTAAAGTCTCCCTTAGTATGGTGCGACAACTACACTCTAATATAGCCTCTCCAGGGGCAAGGCGCCATCACGTTCCATCACGTCAATAACTCGAGCAGTAAGAAGACCCCAAGCTGACTCGACATAATAGGAAGTAGTCTCAGTAGTTATGTATGACAGCCGTGCTGTCAAAACAGAAATGTTGGTGTATTTTAAGTGATTCATTGATTCTCTGTGCGGCCCTAGCGTGGTGCAGAGCCTGCGGTCTTCCCACTACTTGTGGTTTCCCACTGACAGCTCCGGGACTTGACAGCAAGGCCAAAAATAAGCTTACGAAATTCACAAATAGCAGCCTACACAAGAGCAATACTGCTTCTAAGTTAAACTTGACCAAAAGCTAAACAAAGGATTATTTTCTGTCCTTATTGTGCTAACTCCTTGTTGGACAATATACATGAGAAAGAAATACCCAAGAAGACATCTTTCCAAACGTATTTGTCTGCCTAGCAGACGTTTCTTGGGAACAGATATTAGATATCCATTTTCCTCTTTTAATTAATTAATTTATTTCTGTTACAGATGTTTCTTCTTTTTCCCCGCAGACACCCTAGATATCTATTTTTCAAGTGCATCTTTGAAACCTAGGATCTGTCTGGTCTCATCAGGAATAGTTGAAAACAGTGGTTGCCATTTGTTCTTTATATGTGGGCCTGCTTATTGGTCTGGCCCTGGATTCTCCCACTAAGCTACCATCCTGTCCTTATCATTCATCTTTCTCTCCCCTTTGATTTCAGGAACTATGTTTTCCTCTTCCGCTACAGTGTATTTATTTTCACACTTGACTATATTCCTTGTGTTATCAGCTTTCATCTAATAATCCCCATGTTTAGAAATCTGAGGTGACTCCCTGCAGGCTGTCACATCAAATCGAAACCCCTTTGACTATCTACTCCCAGCCCACCTCACCACCCCCAGTCATCCCTGCCTTCCTCCCAATCTAAGCCTGTGGTATTATCTTAGTCATGAAAGAGCTAATAATGTCACACGCACACGCACACGCACACACACACACTGCCCATTTGCCCATCTCTGCCTCATTTGTATTGCTTTCCTTATGTAGAATGTCCTTTCATCCTATTTTAACTTCTCTGTTTAAGTCCCCTCCTACTTATGGTAGGTCTACTCTGAATCCCCCAGGATATTTGTGATTTGTGCCCCACAATGAGGCACTGATATATGATGTAATTTCTTGAGTAATTGACTATTGTTAGTCTAGTTCCACTACGTTGTGAGCCTCCTAAGTCAGGGCCATGACTTAGACTCTGGCGTGGCCCTCCCCGTGTTAGCTTGAAGTCAAGGGTTTATATTTCAGGTTTCTAAGCCCAAGATGGTGCTGAGAGCACACCCCTGAACTTCCACAGCCCTAGACTTGGTGTCCTCAGACTCACATAATTCACCTTTGTTTAGTGCCTGGGCACCAACAAGCAGGACAAGGCACACCTTGTGCTGGATCTGGGCTAGTATGGTTGCTGCTTTTGTGTAATTCCCCAGTTGGTGGTAACATTCTAGGCCATCAAACTGAAACTGTTTTCTGCTTCCTTCTTTCAGTTTACTATTAAACCACTGGATAAGAAAATTGATGTCTTCAAGTTTAATTCCTCAAAGCTTCGTGTTAATAAGCTGGTAAGTTGAGATCCTGGTTTTTATTACTGATAGGGATAGTTTTTCTGAGAAATTGAATGTCCTTGTTGAAAGAATATCAGAGTGACATCTTGGTACATGCTTTTCTGATAGGCCTTGAAAGACTCTAGCTTAACCTAAAGAGTCAAACCTAAATTCTAGGATGAAGACTTTTAAAAAATTATTTGTATTGAAGTACTTTATACATATAAAAGGATAAGTATAATGTGCATATATAAGCTATAAAGAATGACAAAAATAAATATCTATGTACCCTCTACTCAGCTTTAAGAAATAGCACATCCCTTGCCCTGGCTGGTGTGGCTCAGTAGATGCAGCAGCCTGAGCACCAAAGGGTTGTGAGTTTGATTCTGGTCAAGGGCACATACTTGGGTTGCAGGTTCGATCCCTGGCCCTGGTCAGGGCACATTCAGGAGGCAGCCAATCGATATGTCTCTCTCACATTGATGTTTCTCCTCCTCCCCTTCCTGCCTTCTACTCTCTAAGATTCAATGAAAACAATATCCTCAGGTGAGGATTAACAAAAAAAACGAAAAAAAATAGCACAACCCCAATACCGTTGAAACTCCTAATGTTAGCTAGTCTCCCCCTCTCTCTTCCTCAGGAGTGATCATCATTCTGAGCTATATGCTCATTATTCTCTTGCTTTTCATCAGAACTTTATTTTTGTGGCAAAATGAATACACTATTAAGTTTTGTATAAGTGCTTGCAACTGTATTCTCTGTCACTCCCTTTTTTTCAATCCTCACCCAAGGATATTTTTACATTAAATCTTCAGATCGAGCTGGAGGAAAAGAGAGAGAGAGAGAGAAACATCGATGTGAGAGAGACACATCGATCGGTTGCCACCTACACAACCCCAACCAGGGCCGGGGAGGAACCACAACCGAGGCACATGCACTTGGCCAGAATCGAACCTGAGACTCTTTGGTCCACAGGCGATTCTCTTATCGCTGAACCATACTGGCCAGGGCTCTGTCACTACCTTTTTACACATTATTTTTTATTTATGTTGATGCTTAAAGGTTATGATCCCTGCCCAGCCAGTGTGGCTCAGAGGTTGAGCATCGACTCATGCACCGAGTTCGCCAGTTCAATTTCTGGTCATGGTACATGCCCAGGTTGTGAGCCAAATCCCCAGCGGGGCATGCAGGAGGAGGCCAGTTGATGTTCTCTTTCATCGATATTTCCATCTCTCTTCCCTCTCCCTTCCTCTCTCTAAAATCAATAAAGAAAAAAAAATTTTTTTAATGATTATGATTCCTTAATTTTCACAACTATGTAGTATTCTATTATGTGGGTATATGTTTTTCCTTTTCTTTTATTTGTTTTTTGTTAATCCTCACCCGATGATATTTTTTTATTGATTTTTAGATAGAGTGGAAGAGCGGAAGGGAGAGAGAGAAACATCAATGTGAGAGACACATCGATTGGTTGCCTCCCTCATGACCCTGACCGAGGCCAGGGATCGAACCTGCAATCCAGGTACATGCCCTTTACTGGGAATCGAACCTGAGTCCCTTTGGTCTTCAGGCTGTTGCTCTAACCGTTGAGCAAAATCAGTAAAGGCCTTTTTTTTTTTTTTTAATTCTCTCCACAGGATGTGTTTCTTATTGATTTGAGAGAGAGAGAGAAACATCAATTGATTGCCTCCTGCACATGCCCCAACTAGGGATCGAACCTGCAACCTAGGTGTGTACCCTGACCGGAAATCGAACCCACATTTTTTTTGTGCATAGAATGATGTTCCAACTGACTGAGCCATCTGGCCAGAACTCTATTTTCATTCTCTTATTAATGGACAATTAAGTACCTTTCATTTTTGTGCCATATTAACAAGGCTGTTACGAACATTCTCGTATCTGCCTCTTGGTGTACATGGGCAATATTTTCTCTAGAGCCTAGAGAATATGAACATATAGCCCTACAAGTGCAGGGCTGTAGTGTATGTCTGAATTCAAGACTATGCTATGTTCTTTTCCAAAGAAGATGAATTAATTTACAGATCTAATAGCAGCAGGTGAGATTTCCTTTTGCTTTATGTCCTCAACAACTGTATTATTAGGCTTTTAAAATTTCCCCCAATCTTGTGCCTATATAGTGGTATCTCATTGTCATAAGTAATTTGCATGTTTATATTTACCAATAAGGTGGAACATCTGTTTGTATATTTATTGATCATTCTTATTATTTCTTCTGTCAAATTCTTGTTTCATATCTTTTGGCCATTTTTCTTGTGGATTGTTTTCTTTATTGGTTATATCTTCTCTCACTTTGTGGTTATATTTCCTCTTTTTTATAATGTATTGAGAAAAAATTCTTAATTTTTTATTTATTGATTGATTTGAGAGAGAGAGAGAAATATCGATTTGTTGTTCCACTTATATATGCATTCATTGGTTGATTCTTGTATATTCCCTGACTGGGGATTGAAGCCGCAACCTCCATGTATGGGGACAACGCTCCAACCAACTGAGCTACCTGGCCAACGCAAAAGTTTAATAAATTTTAATGTAAAAAATGTATACATCTTTTCCTTAATCATTTGTGTCTTGCTTGACGTCTTTCCTTATCCTATAATCATAAAGATGTTCTCTTAGAAAGTTTCAAGGGCTTGATCTTTGCATTTAAGTTTTTAATTCTTCTGGAGGTAGTTTTTGCATATGGTATAAGGGAAGGATTCAGCTTATTTCTTTCCTCATGAAAAGCCTGTTGTCCCAGCCCAACCTATTCAGTGAGCTTCCCCTCCTCCCTGACCTGCAGAGCCACACCTGGACTTAGAGTGAGGTGCTTCCAGAAGACCTGCAGAGTGTCTTCTGTTTCTCTCTTCACCTGTGATTTTTGTCCCCTGGCATATGGGGCACCTTCCGTTTACTGTCTCCAGAGCTGAGAGCACTAGACGCCGTTAGCAGGGTGCTTCTTTCCACGCTGTCCTCATCAGGCTTCCTGCTGCCCACAGGGCCTGCAGAGCCGGTGAGCTCGAAGCAGTGCAGTAAATGTGTGGGTTTAACATTTCTCCTGCTTCCGTGGCCATAGATTCTTCAGCTGTGTATTGGGAACCATGACCTTTTTATGAGGAGAAGGAAGGCGGATTCTTTGGAAGTTCAGCAGATGAAAGCCCAGGCCAGGGAGGAGAAAGCCAGAAAACAGGTGAGCAAAACCATGTTTGGACTGCTGTTACCACCTGGTGGTCTTGGCCTGGGAGGTAAGGAGTCATTATGGGCTGACCAGAGTCCTTTGGTCATGATGACACATAATCTTAGTTTATCTCTTTTGGATCTTTCTTAGCTGATGCCCAGCTGGTGGGGTGTCAGCTCTTGAATTGAGGAATAAACTCTAATAGCATATCTAAAAGAAACATCTTTAGTTTGTTATTTCTCCACTTAAGTGAAGTGGGAAGAAATAGCCCAGCCTGCCTGTATCCACCCATTCATCCCTCTTTCATCTATATAGCTAAGCTTTTTTTTTGCCTGCCTGTCTCCTTTGCCCAGCCTTCTCCTTTTCTAATTAGATGGTGATAAAATGCATGGCAGCATTTCAGTGCTGCTGCTGGAATGCTAATTAGCCTCTGGCTGCACTTCCCCACTGTAGGTCAGCCCAGGCGGCAGGCACATCACCCGCCATGGGAGGTGCTGGGAGCGCGGATCAGCAGACTGGATGATCTGCATCATTGTCTTCTACTCATAGACCTTTTCGACTCACCGAAATCCACACAACTAATCTGAGCCTCACGGCTGAGAATATTAATTGTGATCATGGACAAACTACTAGATAGAGTAGCAGCAGCTGCAGTCGGATGCCCTTAGGACTTGCAGGCTCGAAGGTGTAATAATTAGTCTGTGTGCAGCTGTCTCTGATTTGGGTACTCCGATGAGGCTGGCTCCCAGCCTTGAGTTTCAGAATGAAATGCCCAGTTTGATCCAATTCTTCTAACTCTCCATCTCTTTGCTTTCTGAGGTGACAGGCTATACATGTGTTCTTTGGGATGCTTTGGTGGCGGGGGGGGATTGGTTGGACAAAGAAATCCTCCTGAGCCAGCACAGTGGCAATGGTGGCAACTTTTAGAAGAGCCACTTCTGACTGTTTTCAGCAGAGCAAAGCTTCGAAGTGAGAGATCTGAAAATGACAAGGATGTATAGGCCTCGGGGCTTTGGCAGAGAAGAGCATGAACACACCCCAGACCTGCCCCCGCCAGTAGGACAGCAGAGGCACGCCCCTGGCATGTGGCAACTGCAGGTCAGGGGCTCTGTGGCCCCTGTACAAACAGTGACCTTGGAGCCAGCTGTGAAACTTAGTATGTGACGCGAGTGAATGACTTAACTTCCAGACCCGTTTTCTCATCTATTACATGGAGCTAATGATACCTCTTCTCTGTCTCAGATCAAAGGATACATTGAACCTGAAAATCTTTAAAAAAAAATTTTTTTTTCTTTATTGATTTTAGAGAGAGTAGAATGGAGAGGGAAAGAGAGAAAGAAACATCGATGAGAGAGAACATCGATTGGCTGCCTCCTGCATGCCTCCCGCTGGGGATTTGGCCCACAACCTGGACATGTGCCCTATCTGGGAATTGAACTGGTGACTTCTTGGTGCATGGGTAGATGCTCAACCACTGAGCCACACCAGCTGGGCAACCTTGAAAGTCTTTACAGCTTAAACCACTTTGCGAACAGGAGGTCTCTTATGGGGGCGGGGGCCTCGGGGAAAGTGCAGTGCTGGGAATGGAAGGGGATTGCCTGGGCTTTTTTCAAGTGGAGAATAATGGACATACAGTTATCTGCCTAATGGAAACTGTAATATGATGGAAATTAGAGAACAAATTGGCCAAGCTTTTCACTGACCTGTAAGAGGAAAATTGGAGAAGAATTTACAGTACTTTATTGCTTGTCTTTGCATTATTCCTTAGACGTGCAATGTTTTTTTTTTTTTGGCTTAGTATTTAGAAAAAGTAGCAATCTTAGAAATATTATACTTGGGAGATTGAAGCAAGAAGTAATTAATGTGCTTTAATTATTTAAGGAAGAAAACAGTGTAGTGGTCACTTCTGGCTTCTGCTTCCTGAATTCAGTGAGTTCCATAGGATCAGAGACTAGTGCTTGTCCTGTGCTTGTTCACCTTATTAAGCTCAGCATGTGGCCTAATTAATACAGTGATCCAGATGGCAAGAGAGGTGGCGGCGGCTTTGTACTGTTGCCTTAAGGATGGGGGGCTGTGCTCCCCGCCTGACTCCCTCCTGTCGCAGACCTGGCTCAGGAGCTGCCTCTGCATGAGGCTGAGAGTCTGTGCTGCGGCTGCCGCGGCTCCCCCTGTGAAACACAATGTGTGAACTATTGATGCATCACACAGAATGATTCCATCTTCTCCGTGGGTCAGGGACAGGAGTGGAGCTATTGTTGATGAGATTAGAGGTGTGGGAGAGGTCTGTGTAGATTAGAAATAGCGAGGTGGCTCATCCGACCAGATGAGAAAGCTGTTTCTGGGGCTCCATCTCAGGGAGAAGGAACCTGCATTGTGTGCGGTCAGTCCCAGAGCAGAGCCGTGTGAGGTGTCCCAACAGAAAGGGATTTGGGCAAGGTAGCTGTTCAGCACAGGTGTGTGAGGACACCTCCTGTGATCCAGGTAGACTTGGCTTGTTGTTTGTTTGTTTACCACTAGATGCTTTTTCAAGGAGCATAGTTTTCACCTCTACAGCTGGTTTAGAAGGACAAAGGGTGGTCGGTGACAAGAATGGCCACCAGAAGAAAAGGGTACCCAAAGGGGACACTGGGCTGTCTTGGATTCCTGTGGCACTGTAGGTGGTGAGCCCCGTGACTCAGTGACTGCTCTCATCCCCCCCCCCCAGATGGAGCGGCAGCGCCTCGCTCGAGAGAAGCAGATGAGGGAGGAGGCTGAACGCACGAGGGACGAGCTGGAGAGGAGGCTGCTGCAGATGAAAGAAGAAGCGACCATGGCCAACGAAGCACTGGTGATTCCCGAGGGGTCTGGGCCCCAGAGGCTGCCTGGGGTCTTACTCACTTTGCTGGAGTTAGACCTCCTGAGGACCACAAATTAACGACATTTGCTTTGACATTTCAGCTTAAAAAACAAAAAATCAGTGCCTTTTTTTCCACCTGTGCTGGCAGAAGCACATTGAGGTTGTATTCATGTGCAGACAGACCCCTCACCGAGGGATGCCTTTAAAGCAGGGCCACCCCACTTCGGCATGCCAGATATTGGGGCCAGACCGTCCTTTGTGGTGGGTCTGTCCTGTCATTGAAGGATGTTTATCAGTGTCTCTGGTCTCTATCCAGTAGATGCTGGTAGCACCACCTTAGCCCTCATTTGTGGCCATCAAAATGTCTCCGGACATCGCTACATGTCCCCCAGGGACAAAGTCTCCACCAGTTTGGAACTGATTTAAAGGGAAAGGAGAACAGAGTTAAGTTGGTTTTCTCCCTCATGAAGCCTCAGTTTAGTGGGGACTCAAAAAACGTGCTTTCTTTTTTGTTATTAATTTATTTTTGTTACAAATGTTTCTCCTTTTTTTCTCCATTGACACCCTCCTCCCCATAAAACATGCTTTCTTGTTGCTCCCCATGGATGGAACCTGACAGGCCCTTCTGAAAAGTGGAAAGGTGTGACTTGTCATCTGTTGCCAGGGTGTCATCTGAGGGACACTCAGTGGCAGGGTCCAAGGAAGCTGAGACCAGTTCTTGCTGACCGGAGTGTCTGAGCTCAGATCTGGCGGCATCACAGGCATGGGACCCCCACTCAGCTGGCGGCGCTCTCTCTCCAGATGCGGTCTGAGGAAACGGCTGACCTGCTGGCGGAGAAGGCCCAGATCACTGAGGAGGAGGCAAAGCTCCTGGCACAGAAAGCTGCAGAGGCTGAACAGGAAATGCAGCGCATCAAGGCCACGGCCATTCGGACAGAGGAAGAGAAGCGCCTGATGGAGCAGAAGGTGCTGGAGGCCGAGGTGTTGGCGCTGAAGATGGCTGAGGAGTCAGAGAGGAGGTCAGAGGTGGCGGGGTGGGGGTCCTGGGCACTGGGCACTGCTCAGTCCTCACCTGCCCTGAGGCAGAGCTTGACTGCAGCTGTCCTCAGGCTGCTGCTTTGTCTTCTGGGGAGGGGACAGGCTCCTTCTTTGCTTGCCTGGTGCTTAATCTGGTGTGGGGCTGGAGCTATCAGAAGGGACCCAGGAACACAGTTCTCTTGTTGAGTGGACCTCTGGTCATGCTTGTGCTGTGATAAGCCCTCATCCCTCTGAAGCCACATTGCAGGAAAGCCCTCAAGCACGTCCACAGACTGCTTTTAGCTGAGGAGATGTAAAGAGCCTTTTCTTACATTTAGAAAATGAGATTCTTTTCCCCTTTTGTAGGAGGCATGTGGGGAGACAGCAGCTATTTACCTTTAACGTAGAAACTAGACACCCACTTCCTGCAGGTCCTCCTTGGTGCTAAGGCTCCTAAGGCAGGTGGGAGGGGAGGGCCTGGATCCTCTCTGGCCAGGATACCCCGGCTCACAACTAGGCAGAAGGATGGAACTGCCATGTGTGCTTTTCAAAGATTGTTCTAGGCTCTGGATTTTTCTGGTCCTACAGCCTTCAGACAGACGCTAGCACGTTCCCCACGGCATTTGGCCCTTTTCACTCAGCTTTCGCCACCAAGGTGTAATCACTACAGTCCTCCACTTTTTGTCAGTCTGGGAATATGGTTCCTTGTTTTCTGCCCTGTCCTGGGAGAGTGACACATGATGGGTTGGATCCTGTGTCCTACAGGACAAGGACCTGCACCAAAGTGTGAGGTCCTCAGCAATGGTACCTGAGCAGGTGGGCCCTTAGCTGGCAGTTGTTTGTTTTGTTTTGTTTTTGAAGAGAGGCTGTGAAGTCAGTTCTTACACCTCCTGCCCTTTGTGATCCAATATAAGACCTTGATCCACTGGATTCTTCCTTTGCTCATCGCACCCTCACCCAGAAATGCTGCAGAGAACGCCTGTAGCCCCTTCCCCAGTGCTCCTCTGCCTCCACAGTCGGCAAAGGTTTGCCCTTGACTCTTCCCACTGCTTCCCTGCTCTTCCAGTTTAGATTTGCCAGTTGAAGTAAACAATACCCAGGAATGTTGTCCGTGGCTTGGAAGTTCCGATTTCATGTAAATGTCCCACCCGCCCTCTACTGTCCTTGTTTGTCTGATCTGGTGCCATGCTCAGGGTTAGCCCAGGTCCCTCCTCTCCAGGGAGAGAAGGGGGACAAGGGATCTCTTTTTCTCCACCTGTCATTGTCTATGGAGGTGACAGATCCTCCTTTCCTTGCAGGGCCAAAGAGGCTGATCAACTGAAGCAGGACCTGCAGGAAGCCCGCGAGGCAGAGCGAAGAGCCAAGCAAAAGCTCCTAGAAATCACCACCAAACCCACATACCCGGTGAGCTTGGATGGGGGCTGCCAAGACCTGCTAACTTTCCCTTCCAGCCCTTTGCTTCACCTGGGGGTGCCTTCCGGGTGACTGTTCAAGCAAACGCACGGTACAGCCAGTGGTGCAGAGGGTCTGCAGTTAGGGTCTGGGCAGAACACCTGGCCTGCCGTTTGGCCTTGGACTAGTTAGTTACCTGTCTGGTTGCCAAGATAACAAGCAACAGGACCTTGTAAAGCTCTTAAATTGTCCTCTTATTCTATTTAATATAGTCCAAATTATTCTCAAGAGAACTTACTCTCTAGCCTCTTAGCACCAAACCGAATGTAATCTTTAGCTATCAGTATATACTGTTAACCATAATTGTAGCTCTGGGCAGGGATACCTTGTATAACTCATGTGAACCATTGCCATGCAAGAACCAGCTTCCAAACTCAATTTTGGGACAGGGAGACAGACTTCAATTAAATAAGGTCACAAAATGGATAAAGAGGTCTCTTTTTTTTCCCCCTGTGTGCATTCAGTTCAGCAAACTTTTTGCACTCCTGTCTTGTTTCAAATAATACCAGGCAGATGGGGAGTCTTTATACAAACAGGGTGCACAGGTGCCTGGAGGAGAACTTAGCCCAGCCTGAAGGGGTAGGAGGGGCTCAGTATGGTGCCTGAGCTGACTGTTGAGGGCGAGTAGGAACTAGCCAGATGGAAAAGAGATAATAAGGCATTCCTGGCAGGAGACAGACGTGCGCACGCACAAGCGCCCGCACTGCACGTTCACGCCCACTGCACAGACCGCACACAGCAAAGAGGCGCACAGGGCACAGGGCATAAGCTGCCCAGGGTTTGAGGTGGAGGGAAATGGGAGCAGTTTCCTATTGACATCTGTTCTGATTATCTGCTACCATGCAGCAGGCCACCCCAAACCAGCCATATAGCTCAAAACATCCTTGTATTATTCTCTCTCCTGGCTTGGTGTGTTGATTGGCCAGTGGTCCTTCCTGGGGATCTCTGAGGTGTTTGCAGGCAGATGGTAGCTGGGACTGGAATTGTCTGAGGGCTCCTCTGGGCTGGACACCACAGATGTGTGTGTGTTTTTAAAACACACATTGGAGCAAGCTTTATCCACTGCTCTAACAATAAATAAATAAATAAATCCTGGAGGACATCATCCATATCAACTTTTTAATCATATTTTGTTGTATGGAGGGACTATAGTCCATCTAGCTAGTCCCCAGTGGATGGGTAGTTAGTCTGTTTTCTTTTGCAATTATGAACAAAACTGCACAGAACATCCCTAAACACAAAGATTTGCATGTACATATGGCTGTAGCGATAGAATAAATTCTCATAAGTAGAACTGTGGGGTCAAAGAAGACAACTGTGACAGAAGGCCATGGCGACAGAGGGTCATCGTGGTGCTGGGAGGCACCCATTGCCTTTATGGCCACCGGAGGGTCGGTGGTTAACACAGCAGTGTCCCTCTGTTCTTGTAGAACCTGAACCTAATTGGAGATTTCTCATTTATAGCCCATGAACTCAATCCCAGCACCATTGCCTCCTGACATATCCAGCTTCAACCTCATTGCTGACAGCCTGTCTTTCGACTTCAAGGATACTGACATGAAGCGACTGTCCATGGAAATAGAGAAAGAAAAGTATGTATTCTCCCCACCCCCATGCCCTGCTTGGGCACCTAGTGAACCAAAGTGAGTTGGTCCAGGCGTGGGGAAAGTGGGGGGTCACTGCCACAGCCTGTCACATCCTGCAAAGGTTTGCTCTGTTCTCACAGCCTGGAGGAAGAATTTCCGAATCAGAAATAAAGGACTGCAGACCAGCATTCAATCTTCCAGGATAAAAATGATACTTAATTGGTGACTTGGAGATTATAGTGGCTCAAAACCCCCCCTAAAGTATGGGACTGGCTGTCAGGGATCTCCGAGTTGGTCAGAGAGCTGTTCACATGGTAACAGAGTATGTTGCTAACGTGCTGACATGGTGGTAGTAGAACATGTTCCTAGCTGTGTTCTCTGGTGGCTCAGATCTGTGGCATTCCATGTCTACAACAGGGTAAGAGAGAAGAAACTCAGGCTCAGGCTGAGGAAAGCAAACGTGCAGGTCAGGCCCGCCCTGCTTCATGGGGCAGCACGGAGCTGAGCCCCACACACCCTGTTCCCAGCAGCTTCTGCTGCTTTGTCTCCCTCCTGTGCTGTGTGGTCACTAGGCAAGGGTCTGAGATGGAAAGCAGTTCCAGTGCAGAGGGAATCTCACTGAGGTCCCCCCAGTTCCCAGCCAGAGGTAAATTGGCCAATTGGGCCATGGCTTGCCACAGAACAATCTCCATAGCTACCTTGTACGGGGTGCCTGGACATCAGGGTACTTTAGCTTTTATCCTATTTCATTCTCATTAACAAGCATCAAACTGACATCAAAGGTAGGTTTTAGTGTTCTTGTTTAAAAGTGAGAACCCAGCTTGCCCTGGCCGGTTTGGCTCAGCGGTTAGAGCATCGGCCTGCGGTCCAAAGAGACCTGGATTCGGTTCCCGCTATGGACACATACCTTAGTTGCGGTTTGTCCCCGGCCCTGGTTGGGTCATGCGGGTGGCAACCACTCGATGTATCCTTTTCACGTCAATGTTTCTCTCTCTCTCCCTCCCTCTCACTCTATCTGAACAAAATATCGAAAAACGTCCTTGGGTGAGGATAAAAAAAAAGAGAGAGAACCCAGCCCAGCCAGTGTGGCTCAGTGGTTGAGCATCGACCCATTTACCCAAGAGGTCGCCAGTTCGATTCCCAGTCAGGGCACATGCCCAGGTTGTGGGCCAAATCCCCAGTGCGGGGAGGGGCATGCAGGAGGTGGCCAATCGATGTTCTCTCTCATCGATATTTCTGTCTCCCTCTCCCTCTCCATTCCTCTCTCTCTCAAATCAATAAAGAAAAATGAAAATGAGAACCCAGATTTAGAGCGTTTAATGAACTCACTCTCATCACACAGTTGATGAGGGACAGAACCAGCATTCAGCTTCAGCCTGTCCAAGCCTCTGTGCTTTCACCTGTATACTATCCTTGGGACAACCCTCTCAGGACAGTGTCTCCTTGGAGCCCAGGGTGGGCAACCATGAACTGGGCCCTGGCTCTTAGGGCTGTCACACAGATGTATAGAACCAGAGTCTCATCTGTGATGTCTTCTGTTGGAGTTCCCCTTCCAGCCATCCACCATTTTCCCAAAGTACTAATAGCATTCTGTGGCTGTGATGAGGGTGAGGCTGCATCTGTCTGTGTTCTGCTTTTTTTTTTTTTTTTTTTTTTATCCTCGCCCAAGGACATTTTCCCATTTTTTGTTCAGATAGAGAGGGAGGGAGAGAGAGGAAGGGAGAGAGAGAGAGAGACATCGATGTGAAGGGACACATCGAGTGGCTGCCACCCGCATGACCAACCAGGGCCGGGGACAAACTGCAACCGAAGTACGTGCCCTTAGCGGGAACCGAACCCGGGTCTCTCCGGACCGCAGGCCGACGCTCTAATCGCTGAGCCAAACTGGCCAGGGCTGTGTTCTGCTTTTTTATAGTTTCTATTTTCTTCCTTGTTACCCACACACAATAGACAGAGTCCATACATTAACATGGGAAGCACTACAGAATGTTCCTTGGTGTTTGTGTGCATGGGCCATGCCCTTTTAGTCGGACACTTTCAGGATGGTTTCCCGATTTCCACCATCATAGATACAGCATGGATTTGTAGGCAGTGGTGGGAATTTTTTTCTTCCTAGTGTTGGCTGATTGTCAGTCATCTTTAGGAGATGACATCTCAAAATAAGTAGGGATATGGCTACCGCCTGTCAGAAGACGTCACTTGAATGGAATTACTTCTCCGAGAAAGGTTGAGGCAAGAAAATTGTTTTTGGATCCTAGGAGGCTTATTTCATATGCTGTGTTTTGTTGTTGTTGTTTCACAGAACTAAAAGCTGTCTATTTCATCTGGTACTTATAGAGCACTTTATGAGAGCTTACAGCAGGTTAGAAGAGGGATTTCCTCTACTTTCTTTTATTTAATTCTGGCCACAGCCCCGCGATCATTATTCCAATTTTATGGGTGAGGAAACAGATTCAGACCAGTTAAGTGACTGGCCCAAGCTCCCATGGCCCGTGAGTGGCCAAGTAGAGACATGAACCCCAGGCTTCAGACCCCAAGTGGCTTGTAGGTCTGGAGCATCTCAAGGCTGTGAGTCTCACTGTTGGCAAAGCTGTGATGCACAATATACTCTTCCCGCAGAGTGGAGTATATGGAGAAGAGCAAGCATCTGCAGGAGCAGCTCAATGAGCTCAAGACTGAGATCGAGGCCTTGAAACTTAAAGAGAGGGAGACAGCCTTGGACATCCTGCACAATGAGAACTCGGACCGGGGCGGCACCAGCAGCAAGCATAATACCATTAAAAAGGTACCAAGTCTCCTGTCTTTTGCTGATCGGGATAGTCATTAATGAAATGTGAAATCAGCATCCGGTTTCCTCAGTAGCCAAGGCATTAGACTGTTGTCATTTTTAATACGTACTTAGTTGAGGAAATTTTTTTGACTCCTGCCTAAAAGGGAAGTTAATCTGCCAATGACTGAACCCATTGGCTTGAAGGAAAGAGAGCTTTTAACACAAGCATTTCATGATGAAATGAATCACTGTTACTGGATGGGTTTTGATCCATCATTTAGCAGTAAAGCAATTCTGTCTTTTAAGCCAAGGGGAGTTCTGCCCAGGGAGCTGCCTTACTTAATGAGAAAGCAAAATGAGGTGGAGGCTGTTGAGAATAGACTCTCCCTCTAGTCTTTTTGTTGGTTTTTTTTTTTTTTTTAGTGGCAAGGACTATAAAGTTCTGTTCTTGATTTAGAAGCCAAATGCTCAATTTTTAACTTTTTTCATACTTACAGGGAAGTATCTACAAGAACCCTAATGTTTTAAAAGATGAAATTTCATTTATGTTGCTAACAGTTGCATACCTTTCTCCACTGATATTTTGAGCTTTTAGTATTTGAGAGGACATTAATTTCCATCCTAAATATCAGCCCAAGAATATACTTCTCTGGTGTTGAGCAAAGCGGAAAGGGCCTCTCTGCCACTTGATGTCTGCTCCTAACCGATAGCCCAGGGCCAGGTTAACACCTGTAAAATAGGTGTCATTAGGAGAAGACCATTCATTGAGTTAGATAACGATAGTTTAGATACATTTGATTTTTATTTACTCTTTATCTTTAGTCTTTAAAATAATCTCCCAGTTTAAGGAATATCTGTTTTCAGTGGTTAAGTTGTATCTGAAAACTGCCTGCCATCATTGATGTGCACACTTGGAAGCCCCCAATTCTATGTCCTGACTGCAGTTAGTATTGGCAGTGGATAGAGAATTCCCTTTAATCGCATAACCCAGAAGGAAAGACCTTTCCACATTCCACATTCTTCTTACCGCTGGCTTCTGTCATTTACTGCATTTCCCTTCCAAAACAAAATTATTAAACAATTAGCAAGAGGGGAGCTGAAACGAGGACTCAGCCAGTGAGCAGAGAATTAAAATGACTGGGCCAGTGAGCCAGTCAGGCCTTGGAGGAGCTGTCCTAGACCCCTCCCTACCCCCCACTCATTCATCTGGGCACCAGGAGCGGTCTCGTCTCCGCTGCTGCAGCAGCGAGCTGGGCCCTCAGCCACAGGAGCCTGGACTGCTGAAAGCTGGAGAGACCGCTTCCAAGCCATGAAAACAAACAAGCGAAGGCACTTGTCACAATTTCAGGCCTTTCTGAGCATTTTGCAAATGGCACATGTGGCATTGTTGATATCACAGGGTATGTTTTTGTTTTTCTTCATTTTATTTTGCTGGTTTAGCCTCAAGCCCAAGGCAGAAGACCTATCTGCATTTGAGCCCTCAAAGTAGGTTATTCCCAGGTACTCTGTATGTGGTGATGGTACTGCCCTCTGTGATACTAACCCATGCATGAGCTTGCCTGTCTCTGTTCCCAGTCCACGCCAACCCCTCCCAAGGGCAGGTGGCACCTGGGTACTGGCCGCAGCATGCTTTGAGTATGAGAGCAGGTGTCTACCCTGTGGGGCCAGACCAGCCTCCAGGGGTCCAGAAGGCTGCCTCATTCTGAAGAGCATGTCAGTGGGGCTGTAGGACTGGTTGTCCTTCACATCTTGTGTCACTGTTGGTCTGGAGAAGGTCACTGCTTCTTGTCAGGTCTGTCTAAGTCTTTTGTCTTGGTGGCGTACTTCTTAGACAATAACCCTAGCATGGAGATGGGGCAAATTCGGGTGTTTTTAAGACTGATGTCTGTAACTAAAGATCAAGATCTTTCATGTGGTAACAGCCTTTGAAGACCCATGATCTCACCTGACAACAGCTGGTTGTGGAACGAAAGGGCTGCCCGTGCTCACTCATTTCCTTCAGAGCCTCCCCTTTCTGGACAACATTCACTTTCTTGTCAAGTAAAGCAAACAGCACAGGGATCTGATGTGTAGTCCGTCTCAGTGGACCGTCTGTCTGTCAGCACTCTAAAGGCCGTCTGTCTCTGTGATTGCAGGGAACTCCCAGCGGGACGGTGCTGTCGTGGGCACCCATGGCTGGACAGTCGGTGGTTGTTGAGGGAATTAACCGAATGATTGCTGCTTTCCTTCTGCAGCGGTTGTATTCTCCCAACATACCTCAGCAGTGGAGAGAATTTATTATGCCCGATAATGAAATAACATCCTGCCGCTGCTCCTCACCTAGTCCCCTGTAGTACCCAGTGAAGTCACCAATATCCAACCGTCACATAGGATGTGTCCTTTGGAGTCCTCACCGTGGTTTCTGCTACTAGAAGAATCAAGCTCGTTGGAAGCTTTCTACCAAAAAATAAGATCTGGCATAAATAGATCTTATTTGTGGTTGTTATCCAAGCAAGAGAGGTTAGCTATTAAAGTCCCAGATGGATCTCATTATAAGATGGATTCGAGCTGTCGGTGGTTCCAAGAACCCATGGCACGAACCCCAGTTTGTTTGTGACACTTTTACTTAGCGGGCTCCTGGTTCTTCAGCTTTCATACCACACGTTGGTGTTTGAACACCCCAACAGCGAGCAGTGCAGGCTCTGAGCGGGGACGGCCAGCACTGGGATGGGCAGGCCAGGTGGCTCTGTGACCCCATGGTACCCGGAGGACCCCAGATGGATGCACTTCAGTTTCCTGGACTGTGGCTAGCACAGGGGCAAGCAGAAAATCTCTTTATTTCAGCCCATGCTGTCAGACATGCCCGGCATCTGACTACTGTTCCACCGTGGTACGGTTTCATCTCTCCTCTTTCTTTAATGATCCAGAGCATTTAGATTCTTCAAGGGCCTGATTTTGACCATCAGTTCTCACTGAGCTGTTATTGTAGACAAATGAGGTTTGATTTGTAGTCAGATTTGTACTGCTGCTAGGACATACAGAAGCCTTTTTTTAATGTCTTAATGTGAACTTGTTTTCAAAGCAGGCTGCTAGGCTCCAGTTAATCAAGAATTCTGGCCGGTTTGGCTCAGTGGTTAGAGCGTCGGCCTGCGGTCCAGAGAGACCTGGGTTCGGTTCCCGCTAAGGGCATATACCTCCGTTGCAGTTTGTCCCTGGCCCTGGTTAGTTGTGTGGGTGGCAGCCACTTGATGTGTCCCTTTCACGTCAATGTTTCTCTCTCTCTCTCTCTTCCTCTCCCTCCCTCCCTCTTACTCTATCTGAACAAAAAATGAAAAAAAAAAAATGTCCTCGGGTGAATCAAGGGTTAATACAAGCAAAGACTTGGTTTTAATACAATTGAAGTTGTCTTAGCGTCACTAGATTAAGTAGTGGTAGTTTTTGCTATACAAGAAATGTGATCTACTTTCCATTTTTTAGACTTTGGCAGTCCCTGGGGCCAGGACTGGAGACTGGCCACCTGCCTGAGCTGGGGTGGCTCTGGGGCTGTGCCTGCTGCAGTCGGGCTGAAGTGAGCTGAGCTGAAGAGAAACACCACTGCAGGCTTTGGAAGTGTGGGCGCTTAGAATGTCAAGGGCAGAGAGCTCCGTCTAGAAAGTCTGGGATGAGAACTGCAAAGGCTGGTGGGGAACTGGAGAGTTTCCCATCCTGAAATTTCATTACTCTTGGTTCAAACCAGCCTGCGTTAGTTTTTGTTGTGTTTTTTAATTTTTTATTTATCATATATTTCTACAAGGAAGGAATGGTTCTCCTCTTTACTCTTATCCAGGAGTATTTCTTGGCTTCGCTTTCAGAATTGTTCTACCTCACCAAGAGGTCTCAGTGTCTGACCTGTCTCAGGGGCTGGGTTATCCGGGTTGCCATGTTCCCTTGGGAATGCTAAGAGGCAGTTCAGTCTGGTTAACCGAGGTGACCACTGCTCTGACACTTACTTTCTCTGAAATTCTTACTTTCCCTTAAGGCTCATTGTCCTCACCTGTAAAAAGTAAATAAAATGGTCCTTACCCCCAGGATTACTGCTGGGATTAAAGGAGGCAATGCACGGAAAACACTTTGTTCACCCCAAGAGCTCAGCAAGGGTTTAAAATATATAAAATATATATAAAAGAGCCCGGACAGTGTGGCTCAGTGAACTGAGCATTGTCCCATGGAGGTCCCAGTTCAATTCCCAGTCAGGACACATGCCTCGGTGGAGGGCTCAATCCCCAGAAGAGGGCATGCAGGAGGCAGCCAATCGATGTTTCTCTCTCACGTCAATGTTTCTATCTCTCCCTTCTTCTCTCTCTAAAAAAACCAATAAAAACATATTTAAATATATATATAAACAAAACTGATTGTGAACCTATGGTGAGGGACACACCACATTTATATACACAACTCGTGATTCACGTATCCACTAATTGTATTAATTTCTATGTGTCTGGAGGTAAAAACCTTTAAACAGCCGGAATTAACTTCACTGTTAACTCTGAGTTGGGCTTGCAAGGGTATATTTATTCCCTTCTTGCTAAGTCCTTACATTTCCACTTATTGGTTTGACATTTGAGCCTGGATCAGAGTGGCACCAGGGATCAAGATCAAAAGCCACCCTTGGGCTGGGAACCTAGATTTGCTTGCGAGGTTGGAGGGGACTGATAGCAACACTAATTCCTGGCATCTGAGTCTTTGGAGTGAGGCTGGGGTGAGGGGACCCAGGTGTCACGGGCTTGAGCTTCTTGCCTTCAGAGTCACCGTGCTGATGAGGTGCGCGTGGCCATGTGTAACACACATGAGCTGTGCAACCGTCTTTGGAGGTGAAAACGCAGTCCTGGAGCACACACACTTCGGGACCCGCTTCCACCCCTCTCAGGGGACAGGTTCACTCCCCAGTCTCGAGCTGGTCTGCATGCCAGCAAATTCATCATTGTTTTTGTGCCCACGGTCTCTGAGGGAGCACAGGATTTTAAAGGAAATCGACAGATGAGAAATCACAGGGGGCATAGAGCTTAGAAAGCTTATTTTATTAGTAAATGGTTTGCACCATCAAGGTCCAGCTGTGGTTTCTGCCAGTGGAGAAACAGAACTGAGGAGCCCTGACATTTCTCTGAGGCCTAGCCTCTCTTGGATCAGGAAGACATAAACGTCCAATGTCATCTTCAATTTGCGCGGACTTCCCTTGGAGATGCAGAGCTGGTGGAGTGAAGTAGAACACTTAACACACCCGGGGAAGTGATAAATCACAGGGCGAGATCCAATACGCATGAAAGGCGTCTCCCGCAATTAAAGCTAACGGCCAGAGCCTCCCTGGTGACCTCTGGTCTGCCCCGGCTGCCTCTGCCTCGAAGAGGGCTGCAGAACAGTCCTGCTGCATGTGTGCTAATGTGTTCCGCCCTCCCCTGACCCTGGTCATGGGAGCAAGTGGCTCTGCCTGCGTTGGAGACTGGGCATTGTCTCCTGGAGCACCCTCCGCCCTGACATCAAAGGCCATGCACTGGCTGCCCTGCTCCAGAACCTTCCCTTTGTTGTTCTTAGACCACTGAGAGGAGAGAGGAGGAGAAGAAAGGGGAATGGGAGTGGGGTAGGGGACAAGGATAAGCAAGGAGCACAGCGGCACCAGCTGTGGACACAGACCACTAGCTAAGAGGTAGATAAGAGCACAGCAGTGATCTGGACTCTTCCTGGCTCAGGGAAGCACAGGGAAGGCACTGGGAGGCGGGGGCTGGGGTCGGGAAGAGCACTCCTCCTGTGTGTGACTCCTGGCCCATCCCTGAAGGCCATTTTCACTTCACATTCACACACACTAAACATCCAGGTGCCTCTTAATTGTTTCAGGCTTACGGTTTTCTTCCTTGTTTCTGGTAGCTCTCTAGATAGAAGATTATATCACCTTCTTTTCCAAAAGACCACGACCCAGTTCGTTCTTGGTTGAGAGACTTGACTCGGTCAAGCAGTTGCCCTTTGGGAGGGATTGAGGAGCCGAGGAAGCCTGCCTTGCCCTCCTAGGATATTTTATAGCCACTTAGTGCCTGAGGACATTATTGGGCCTTATTTGATGCAGTAAAACATCCCATTTGGTCCCTGAGCACTGAAGATATGTTTCAGTGCAGCTTTCCTCCAGCACCTGATTTGTTACTGCAACAGTGGGAGGGAAGAGATGGGATGCAAACTCATTCTGCGGGCTCGAGGTTCCGTTCTCATGATCCCGGCCGTGATTTCCCTTCTGATATTGGCAATTTGAGATGACATCAGTATATCTGCATCTTTCTCCTCAGGTACTTGCTCAGGGTGCTCGTAGCTATCAGCCAGCCTCCCCCTGCCCAGTGAGGCGAATCAGGCTGATCAGTCCATTTTCCAGGTGGAAGAACAGAGTAGCAGAGGGTCCTGCCAGCATCACGGGGGCAGCCACCAGTGTCCCTGCATCTTGCTGCTGCTGAGGTCCTTAAAGGATTAATACACAAAAGAGACCCTCTGGGTTTTCCCTGGCGGATTTCTCTCGAGAGCAGATAAAGCAGCTAATACCAAATTGGATTTATTAATTGGAATGGACTTGGCCTTTCATGCCACCTCTGGTTAGGGATAAGTGCGTGAATAGCTCCCTCCCCACGCACATCCCCAGATGGCATTTGGGTGCAAGCTGTCACTGGCAAGAGGGCAGAGCAGCTTAATCTGGCCAGTTTACAGCAGCTTCCCGCCTTCACTGGCCCTGCCCCCTCCGCTCTGGTTTGAAGGGGAATGTTTATCACGCCCCCAGACTAAAGACTGTGTTGAAGTTGCTGCTGCTGGATTTGCCTGTCACCTTTCTGCTCCAGAGTCCGCTTTCACCCGGTGGATCTGTGTTTCCTTTTGTATCCTCGCCCTTCCCCCTCCTCCCTTTTCAATACGTGTGTAGTGGTGGAGGGGAAGTCTAACATGATTTTAGGGCTTGCATTTCAATTTCACAGCATTTTTATGGGACAAGCAGAGTCTCAGTGCCTGGAGTTATTAGGTTAGTATCTAAAATGGGTTCAGCAGTGTGGGTCTTATTGTTTAAAATGAATTAGGCAGCCCCCTCCCACCTTCCTTTCTCTTCCCTGGGGATGAGTGTATTGAGGTGAGGCCCCCAGAGACTAGTTGGAGGACTCCTGCTTAGTTTTGTTCTCCTGGCTTAATTGTAGAGCTTCCTTTCTCTCATCACTGATAGCCCAGTGGCTGTATGTCCTGCCCACCCCCAAGCCGCCCCTTTTGCTTTGGGAACCAGATTATCACAGTGCGGCCTTGTGAATCAGTTTGCTCTGTGTGCTGATGAAAGTGCAATT